TACTTGGGCAGAAGGGTGGGTGTTAGGGATCCGGGTATGACCAGAAATGTGTGGACTGACACAGGGAAGTAGCAGGCTTCAGGAACACAGGCGTAGTCAGGGCTGGAGAGGTGGAATGGTCAGGTGGGCCGTAAGGTACTGTCAGGCACCGCCCGGCGGGATCTCTAGTGACCCACAGACCAGGATTCCCCAGGGCGCGGAGTCTAAGCCCCAGTCTGCCTTTTCACCAGAGCCCCTGATGGTGGGGATGGACTTGGCGCAGGACTGAGACCAGGTCACGGCCCCTGAGTGCACCCAACTGTGGTAGAGGGGTCCGCCGAGGGTATGTACCGGGGAAAGCCTGATGTGAAGGGGCTGGCAGGTTTGGACAGTAGTGACTGGATCCTTGCGGGGAGGATGGATCGTCTGGGTAGCGTCAGGCGTAGTCAGGCAGGCCAGGTCAGCAACGTGCGGGCAGTGAGGTACCGGAGGAGCAGGCAGAGAATAGTCAGGGTCACAAGCCGGGTTCAGTAACTCACGGGCAGCGCGGTACAGAGGATCAGGCAGAAGGATGGTCAGGCAAGCCAGGGGTTCAACAGGAGAGGGTCAGCAGAGGTCAGGATCAAAGCAGGGTCAGCAACTAGGCAGATAAGCAGGAACACAGGATACCAGGTACAGGGGCTTGTCCCTGAAAACCACATTTTCTAAGGGTCGCTAACATGTATCCTCAGTGCACTCTGTCGAACCCCTTCTCTGCATCAATGGACAGAAGCAAAGAAGGCGTTCTGCGAGTCTCAGCATGATGTATGATATTGATAATGCACCTTGTAGCTTCTGACGCTTATCTTCCTTTAGTAAACCCTAGTTGATCAGGTTAAACTAATGTTGGGATGATGCTTATCAGTCGTCGTGCTAGGAGCTTTGCATATAATTTAATGTCCATGTTTAGTAAGGAGATGGGATGGAAGTTAGATGGAGTGTCAGGATTTGTCCTGGGTTTAGAGAGGGTAATGATGTGAGCTCTTAACATTTCCTCAGGGAGAGAACCTGAGGAGAATGCTTGCTGCCTGGAACATGGAAACTAAGTGTTGGATTAAAGTTTGTCTAAACTCTTTATAATATGCATTGGTTAGACCATCTGGGCCAAATCTGGGGATTTGCCATTAGGGAGTGAAGGAATAGTGTAATCAATTTCTTCCGGGGTGAAATCAGCGTTTAGTAGGTCTAATTGTGCTGGAGACAGGAAAAGGAGTTGAAGTGTTGTCAGGAAGTTGTTAATATCTTGTTCAGAGGGTTGAAGTGTGTCATGATAATTTTTCAAATTATAAAGCAAACTATAATAATCTTCAAATGCGTCAACAATTGCTTGGGGATTCTTTAGTTTTTTAGGTTTGTAGCTGTGTGAAAAATGTGAGGACTCTTTGACTTCACGCTTTGTGTCTTTATTCTGTTTGCTAGGAATTTCCCTGCTTTATTTTGGTTTGCGTAATATTACAGCTTGAGTGTCACGATCTGGGTCAGGTTCAGAGACCAGTTGCTATAGCAGTGTAAGGCTTACCTTAAACCAGCAGGATAGGTACACAGGCAGGTCACCCTGGGAAATCACGCAGGCTCACCTGAGGTGCGGGGTCTAAGCATTAACCGGTTTTCACGAGAGCTCCTAATGGTGGAGATGGATTTGGCTGCGTGTCAATACCAGGTCGCAGATCTCAGGATCACCCCACCAGGGAATGAGCAAGCCAGTAACCGATAGCGGATCAAACAGATTAGGGATAAGCAGAAGCAGAGTCAAACAAGGGTCGGTCACAGATGGTAGTGAATGAGGATGAGACAAAATCGTTGTCAGGAACAAGCCAAAGGTCGGTAGCGGAGGTGTAGACGGCAGCAGGAACAATAAGCGGGATATTGGCTGGTAAGGCACAATAATCTGGCAACCAGGAAGTGCAGAGACATGGCTTTTATAGGAAGTTCATTGGAGGAGCAAGGAGGTTCAAGGCTCAAGACAAAACAGGGAAAAGGCAGGATCATCCAAAGAATTGTCAAGGGAGCTGTCCAGCATTCCAGGTGGCTCAGTGAGAAGAAACATTGCCTCTCACCTCAGAAGGCCCAGGTTTGATTCCAGGCTCTGACATTGAGTTTGTACATGTAATAATCATGTTGACTACAAATCAACTCTCTAGGAATATGGCAAAGCTTAGACAGCTTCCTAGCTGTTGAAGGTGAGTTTTAGTTTTGTGAGTCTAGAATGCAGATATCGGATAGGAGGGTATCTAATTTGACCACATATTGTTTCCTAAAACAATAACCAATTTTGTTCAGGGTCCCTCATATGAATGCTTTATGAGCATTCCAATTAATATAAGGATCAATGTCCTGTTTGTTTAACTGAAAATATTGTTGAAGATGACAGGCTATTTCATTTTGCGAAGGTCAGGTTTTGCACAACAGAGTTATTACATCTCCAGATGTGGGGAGGTGCCCAAGTGTTCCCCACCTTCACTTGTGAAGTAATGACCGCATGGTCAGACCATATAATGTCATGAATAGAAGAGGAAGACACCCACTGCAACCACTTGTCCACTACGTAAAGGTCTATGAATAGGTGAATAGGAATTGTGATTTGAACCATGGTGTTTAAAAAGATTGAGGACGAAGTGTGGTAGCTGGTGTACTCTGACTGACTCTGGAACTCTGCGAATTTTAAGGTTGTGAGCGATCCTTGAGGCCAGCCAGTTTGAAATTGAGTTTAGAAATTTCCACTTGCTGTGATGTGTGGGAATACACTACAAAATTAAAGGATGAGGTGAATTTGCACATTTTCCCCTCTACCTGCTGTACTCTATCATCTGTACTTCAGTCCTACATTGTTGGATGCAGGAGACCATGTCAGAATGTAGAGATGCTCTTAAGGACATAAGCATTTCTTTGAGGATGACATCTGAAATTGGTTGTCCAGTAGCTGGAAACTGAGCAATGGGGCCTGATTGTGGTTGTGTAGATTGATTAGCCATACTGTATGTGGATTGCTCACCTTCATTTGTGATGATGGCTCCTGGTCATCTCCATGTTCTCTGCGAGGTCTGGACTGCGTTGGACTTCTGGTTGAAGGAGAAGAGGGGTCAGATTAAGAAGAGACAGAGTCCTGTGAAGCTTCAGCTATGCCAGCGTCTGATTGAGCCGTGTCTATGTGGGGAGTAGATGCAGACACTAGAGGGTCCTCAGAATGTATTTGGTCTTTATGTCCTCTAGACCATGGTCAAAGTTTTTTAGCTTCCTCCTCAATGGTACTGTGCCTGGAACAATTCATTAAAATACATTGGTATTGTCTAGTAGGTAAACCCTTCATCAAATCTATAGGATGAAAAAACAAAAAGTTGTCTATACTGTATACCTGTGCCAGGACAATATGTACATGACATGCAATATGACATGCACAGGTGCCACAACAATTCTTCATTTACAATTTACTACCCCTAAGTTTGCGTAAGAAGGAGCATAAGTAGGGTCAATTGCAGTACCCTGCACCTGGATGTAGTGGGACCAAAAAACAAATAGGTTATGATGATAAGCAAAACAATTAAGATGAAAAAATAACGCAGAATGCAGTGTGTTCCTTCTGAGAGATGTCATGTTCATTGAGGGAAGCTACAAACTGAACTGGTGTTTATGTGCAGCTTCTGGCAGAGCTTTGAATCAAGGTATTTTGCACAAAAGAACATTTTTTGCATTTTACATGGAATGCTTTGCTTTAGCACACTATGTGTATATACAGTATATGAAGTTAGTATTTTAAGATGTTTGCAGAGTTTAGCAACTTTAACTTACAGGGAGAATGAACATTAATAGGTTTTAAAAGGTTTGTAGATCACAGGACACGGAGTTTCAGCACTTTAATTTGAAGGGACAGTGCACATTAATAGGCTCATGGATAACGTATTTGTGAAATCAGTGCTATATGATCTGTCCAACCTGTGAACCTTAGACAAGGCAAAAACAGTTGGTAACATTGAGTTAGTCACCTTAAGGAAAGCAGCTGTCTGTCAATAACTTGTTTTTCAACTACTGAATCAATGATTTTAAATACATAATTTCAATGTCAGGAAATGCTTAAATGATTAATTTAGTTAGCTAAATATATTGAACCACAGTACCTCCAATACAATAATAATTTATAAACAATAATTTAATCTAATTTAGTTTAAATTTTATCTAAATAATTATTCAGAAATCTTTAAAAAAAACATGATAAGATTGGTGTAAGTATAGACTGAGATGATTGAAAAAAAAAAAAAAAATTTATTTAAAATAAATCACTTACAAACACCGCTAACAGTTTTATTTACCACTTTCCTACCGGGCACTTGTACCCCCTTCATGCCCAGGCCAATTTTCAGCTTTCAGTGCTGTTGCACTTTGAATGACAATTACGCGGTCTTGCAACACTGTACCCATATGAAATTTTTATAATTTTTTTCACACAAATAGAGCTTTCTTTTGGTGGTATGTACTTGTGCTATAAACAAACAAAGAGTAAACAATTTAGAAAGAAAAAGTTTTTCTTTGTTTCTATTATATAAAATTTAGCAAACAGGTCATTTTTCTCCTTCACTGATGTGTGTTGACGAGGCTGCACTGATAGGCAGCACTGATGAGCACTGATAGGCAGCACTGGTGAGCATTGATGAGCACTGATAGGTGGCACTGATGAGGTGGCATGGATAGGCGGCACTGATGAGGTGGCATGGATAGGTAGCACTGATGGGCACTGATGAGCTGGCACTAATGATGTGGCACTGATGATGCTGCACTTATATACAACAATGGTGGGCACTGATAGGTGGCACTGATAGGTGGCACTGATGGGCATTGATGAGTGGCACTGGCTGATGGCACTGACATGCACTGACTGGCGGCACTGATGGGCACTGATGAGGTGGCATGGATAGGTAGCACTGATGGGCACTGATGAGCTGGCACTAATGATGTGGCATTGATGATGCTGCACTTATATACAACAATGGTGGGCACTGATAGGTGGCACTGATGGGCACTGATAGGTGGCACTGATGGGCATTGATGAGTGGCACTGGCTGATGGCACTGACTGGCGGCACTGCTGGGCAGTACTGATATGTGGCACTGCTGGGCACAGGTGGGTGGCACTACTAGGCACTGCTGGGCACAGGTGGGTACTTGTGGGCAGCACTGCTGGGCACAGGTGGACAGCACTGGTGGGTGGCACTGCTGGGCACTGATCATCAGGGCACTGATCATCAGTGCCCTGGTTACCGGTGTTGATCTGTCCTCTGACAATTGCTGGTTATTGGCAGTATTTTCCTCACGCTGTGACAGCTTGAGAAAAGTGCAGCGGATAACCGGCAACTGCATTTACCAGTGATCTGCTGTGTCATTGGACACGGCTGATCACGTGGTAAAATGCCTCTGTGATTTGCATTTTACCACATCACACGATCACGTAGATTGCCAAGTGCGCTGGGAGGACATCGTATGAAGCCCTCCCAAAACTGTCCGGCCGCGGTGAAGCCATCATTCGGCTATCTGCGGTTGGCAAGTGGCTAATAGGTTACAATGAATTGCTAAAGCCTTTGCATATCTGTTGGATTAATTACTTGCCACCTGCTCCATAGCCAAAAGTCAGCTACAGTGCAGTCATCTAGTTCTAGGAGAGCGTCTATAGATTTCCTCCCAGAACCTCATCCCCTGTGCACCAGCAGGGCATGCATCAGGCTCGCTCTGTGATCACTGTGTCCTTTGGACACAGCTGATCACAGATCAAGGTAAAGGGCCAATTACAGTGCCCTTTACCATGTTGTGAGCTGTGTCCAATCACAGCTGATCACATGTAAACAGACCTGTCGGTTATTGACAGACACTGTGTCTGTTGATTACTGGCAAAACGGTCAGTACATGGTTTACAATGATAATCAAGGCACTGATCATTAATGCAGCCCCCTCAGTGCAGTATATCAGTGCCCATAAGTACAGCATGTCAGTGCCCATCAGTGCAGTGTATCAATGCCCAACAGTGCCACCTATCAGTGCTACCTTATCAGTGCAGCCTCAATAGTGCTTCCTCATCAGTGCCCATCAGTGCAGCTTCATCAGCGCACATTAGTGAAAAAGAAAAACATTTTTTTTCAAAATGTATGTATTTTTTCATTTGTTTAGCAAAAAATAGAAAAGCCAGTGGCATTTAATGTGGAACCACACTGCATCTGGGCACAAAAAAACAAAAATGCTATTAAATTAATTTTTAATATTCAGAGAAAACTCACCCATATGTTTTATTTTGCTGAGAAATCATTTGAAAAACATCCTCTGGCATTTCTGGCCATGACCATCTTGAGTAAGGGCAGATGATTGATGTAGCACTTATTTCCTGGAGTTCATCTGCCCTTAGCGGCAACATTTTGTTTTCCAGACATTTTTCTAACCAAAACACCGAAGGGGTTGTATATCTCCTTCTCTTTGGTTTCTGTAGTTTGAACAAAACATTGTTTAAAAAAAAAAAAAAAGTTTTTTTCTCTTTTTTAGATTCTTCTGTTTAGATTTATTCAGTATTAACATTTTCATTTTGTTTTGATGGTTTGTTTTCTATTTTTTGCCTTTTTAATGTTTTCATATTTTTTCATGTTTTTGCATCGCTTGATTTATTGTTTCTAATATGAAGCTATACTGGATTACTTTAAGACTTGTTATTCTTGTGACTGTGCCTTAAGTGGCACTGTTTTTTATTACTTAGTATCTTTTTTTAAGTTTGTTTACATACTGTATGTAACACATGTGTCCTTACAACATGCTTTATAATGTTATGTGCATCATGACATATGTTGACATCACACATTTGGTGCCATTTTGCCTATCTAATCCTTGTTCCCCCCCTTATTCTTGATGAGAGTGTGTGTATTTTAAGAAGGACCCCATGAAAAAGAAACAAAAAAATGCAGCTTGGGTTTCCCCAAGACCCTTATCCACACATGTAGCCTTGCTGGCCAGGAACTGGAGGGGCAGTTAGCTATGAGGACATAGGCATCTTCCCCACTTCCCTGACTCAGAAGATGATGGGGGCTTCAGGGGGGTGTTGGGATATTTAGAAGCCCCCTTAAAAATAAGGTGCCTTCCACTAATCTGCCCCCTCATATCAATGAGTAAAGGGCAGGGGCAGACTGACCATTCGAGCACTCGGGCACTGCCCGAGGGCCTGGGGTCAGTAGGGGGCCCCATGAAATGCCCCTGGTATCTTTTATAGGCTTTTTTGGGTGTGCTTTGAGTGTGGGCAAGGAAACAGGGGCCCCGTGATCCCCTATTGCCCGGGGGCCCCATGAGTAGTCAGTCCGCCCCTGGTAAAGGGTAATAATACCTCATAAAATACAAAGTAAATAGTTATGAAACATTGTGACAAAATGCAATTCAAAGCAAATCTATCTTCAAACAAATAATCCAGCAATATAGATCTATGTCTGTCATGATAAACAATGGCCATTGACCAATTTTCAGAACATATACAAAAATTGTAGCCAACTTGCAGCTGAACGGAAGCAATTTTGTAGCTGGGGAAATGTCATTTGCAGCAGGAGTGTGATGAAGGAATGTCATCTTAGAGGGTCATTATATTTTTTTCTTTTAATTGGCTGGTAATATTCATTATTTTAACCACTTGCCGCCCAGCCACCGCATATAAACGGCGGCAGGGCGGCGCTCGTAGGCAAAAGCACGTTTTAAAACGGCTGCCTTCAAAACAGGTAGGGCGCGCCCGCCCTACCTGTCCCGCGGGTGTCAGCAGTGGGTCTCCGCCGCCGGGTCACGGCCGGTTTTTACCAGCCGTTTTCCCGCGATGAGCGGTGATCACTGACACAGAGCAGGACCGACAAGCTGCAGAAGGAGAGAAGAGTTTCTCTCCCTCGATCAGCTCCCTCCTCCCTTCCCCCGTCCAGTACACACCCCCGCCCCCTAGTAAAACACTCCCCTTACACAGCAAATTCTAAAAATGTTAACCCCTTCCTCCCCAGTGACATTAGTACAGTTTCAGTGGTTTTTTTTTCACTGATTACTGTATTGGTGTCATTGGGGATGTCAGTGACCCCAAGTCAGTTCCCCCCCCCAGTGTCAAAATGTCCGCCGCAGTCCCGCCATATGTCGCTGATCGGCGCCATTATTAGTATAAATAAAAATTAAAAATCCCAGTATCCTTCCCGCCATTTGTAAACGCTATAACTTTCACATAAACCAATTAATTTACACGTATTGGGTTTTTTTTTTAGCAAAGACATGTCGTCAGAATGCATTTTGGCAGAAATTTATGACTAAAATTTGATTTTTGCATTTTTTTTTTACTGGACATGTTTTATAGCAAAAAGTCCAAAATATTGTTTTTTTTTCCTCAAAATTGTCAGCCTTTTTTTTTATAGCGCAAAAAATAAAAACCGCATAGGCGATCAAATACCACCGAAAGAAAGCTCAATTTGTGGGGAAAAAAAAGGATGTAAATTTCATTTATGTACCTTATTGCATGACCGCGCAATTGTCCGTTAAACTAGCGCAGCGCTGTATAGCAGAAAAATGGCGTAAATTGCAGCATCTATACCATAGTTTGTAGACGCTATAACTTTCACACAAAGCAATCAATATACACTTATTGGGATTTTTTTTTACCAAAAACATGGAGCAGAATACATTTTGGCCTAAATTTATAACCAACTTTGAGTTTACTATATATTTTTTATAGCTGAAAGTAAAAAATATTGTTTTTTCTTCAAAATTTTTTGCCTTTTTTTGTTTATAGCGTGAAAAATAAAAAGCGCACAGGTGATCAAATTACACCAAAAGAAAGCTCTATTTGTGTGAAAAAAAGGACGTAAATTTCGTTTGGGTGCAACATTGCATGACCGCGCAATTATCAGTTGAATTAGTGCAGCGTCGAGTAGCAAAAAGAGGCCTGGTCATTAAGGGGGGTAAATCCTCAGGAGCTCAAGTGGTTAAATGTGACTTCCAGGCCACACACACACACCACACCAGGGATTTTTGGAAAACACCCTTGTCCCAATCAGCATTCTAACAAGATGTTTTTCCAGGGGATATCCCCTAGCAGAGTATCCTCTCTGTTGAGGGAACATGGCCTGGAAAGAGAAGATGCCTTTCCACTGCCCCCCTTTTCTTGACCAGCTAGGCTGCATGCTAGGATAAGGGTCTGGTATAGATTTTGGGGGGATCCCCCTTTTTCTGCTTTTTTTTGTATGGATGACCCCATCATTTGGGGACTCCACACCATTTTCTTTGTGTTTTTTGCATGAAGTCCCCTTAAAATAAATCCTCATCAAGGATAAGTGTCTGGTATTGACTTTTGGAAGCAATCCTAGGCCATTGGTTTTTTGTTTTCATGTAAAAGAGCTGTTCCCTATTGAACAAATATTTTTTTTAAATCTTTGTTTGCATACAGTTGCAAGAAAAAGTATGTGAACCCCTTGGGATTACGTGGAGGTTTGCATGAATTGGGCATAAATTGTGCTCTGAATGTCATCTAAGTCACAACAATAGAAGAACACAGTCTGCTGAACATAATACTACACAAACATTAGATGTTGCCATGGTTTAATTGCACATAACATGTAAACATTCACAGTGCAGGGAGGAAAAAGTATGTGAACCTTTGGACTTAATAACTGGTTGACCCTCCTTTGGCAGCAATAACCTCAACCAAACGTTTCCTGTAGTTGCAGATCAGACCTGCACAATGATCTGGAGTCATTTTGGACCACTCCTCTTCACAAAACTGTTTCAGTGTAGCAATATTCTGGGGATGTCTGGTGTGAATCGCTCTCTTAAGGTCATGCCACAGCATTTCAATGGGGTTGAGGTCAGGACTCTGACTGGGCCACTCCAGAAGGCGTATTCTGTGCCGTTGCAGCCATTGTTTTGTTGAATTACTTGTATGCTTTGGGTCATTGTCCTGTTGCATCACCCATCCTCTGCGGAGCTTCAGTTGGCGGACAGATGGTCGTACGTTTTCCTGCAAAATGTCTTGATAAACTCTGGAATTCATTTTCCCATCAATGACAACAATCCGTCC